AAGATTATCTATTTATTTGTCAGAGAGAGAGAGAGAAAGAGCACAGGCAGACAGAATGCCAGGTAGAGGCAGAAGCAGGCTCCCCGCTGAGCAAGGAGCCAGATGTGGGACTCGATCCCAGGACGCCGGGATCATGACCTGAGCTGAAGGCAGCCACTCAACCAACTGAGCCACCCAGGCTTCCCTCCAACGTCATTTTCTTAAGCCTTCCCTGGCCATCTGATCTAATAAGGCAGATCATCTCCCTCTTGTCCCCCTTCTCCCTCTCCTATTTTTTCTCCTTAACACTTATCACTATTGAAATACAACATATTTAATTTTTTTAATTGTCTGCTTCCTCCATTAGAATGTGAACTCTATGAAGGAATTTTGCTTTCATTTATGTTCACTCCGGTGACCAAAATACTGACTGATACATAGCAGGTGCTCAATAAATGATTGTCGAATGAATGCACTAAATATTTCACTTATATTTTCGTATACATTTTTTCTGGTTATGCAAAATGTCCTGGGAAAAGGAAGACAGAATCAGATTTGTTCTAGTTTAATTAGGCTAGTCTGATACAGGTGAATGTCTCCCAAGAATAGCATATTGGAACTCATTTACTTAATCCTCATTTATACAGCTTTCTTTGGTATGAGCAGAATGATGTTAGAAGGGATAAAGCTCTACCTTCAAGTAAGAGAAACTTAATGAGACTAGTAGCACAATTAAGAACAAACATAACCTGAGACATTAATGGTATCTATTTAAAGTTGTAATTAGATTGCAAGGACTGTTTGCACAGTGATGCAAGTTTTCCTGGAAGGCAGTTACTATATATATGAACTTGTGTCAAAGACACTGTAGAAGAAGTTTAGTCTTTTGTGGAAAATTGACCTGGAAGACCTCTAAAGTCTTTTCTGCCTGAACAAATTAGAAACCAACGACAGAGAAGAGGAAGCTGCTGTGTGAGATGGGCAAGACTAGTTACTAAAGCAAGAATCCACAACCACATTTCATGTATTACAGTTCTCAATCTTATAGACTCCCAGTGAGCTTTAGCAGGTGAGAAGGTCATTGGTTTTTGGTTGGTTGGTTTTGCGCTTTAAGAGAAGCTGGCCAAGACCTTGCAAACTGAACCGAAATACATTTCATTATTATTACCTATTTTTTGATCAAATCAATTTTCAGCTGTCTCTGATTTTGGTTGAAAGAATACATACAACAAGCAAATTTCACTTTGATATTTTCCATTATGAATTCATAAGAACATTCTTCACTGCCCCTCTAGTGAATCAGAAAACTAAATAAATATGGTATAAATCTAGATGACACGATTTGCAGTTTTTTAAAACTCATAAGCCCTCTTTATCAGTAGATTATAAGAGTAGAAATTCTCCTCTACTTCTTTTATTAATTAACCTTTTCAAATATGTTACAATTTTAACTTAATCTTAGAAGATACTATATAATAAAGCTTTGTCATTACAAATTGCTCACATTCTTTCAGGTAATCTTAAGGATCTTTTTATGAAGTTATTATTTACTTAATCATATTATTTATTGATGCCTATATATGTGTATATATATGTGTGTGTGTGTGTGTATATATATATATATATATGACAAAAAACATGTGAAGTAGGAATTCTTATCAACATGATAAAAATCCTGGGGCCCACAGATTTTAAGTAACTAGTTACATTTAAACATTTGAGCTTAAAAAATGAACTGTATTCGAACCCATGTTGAAATGTCTTTTGCAGGCTTTTAATTCTCACACTGTGACAATCTTAGGAGGAGACAGAGTCTTAGAGAAGCCAAGGGACTTGCCCAAAGTTGTACACATAAGAACTGGAAGAACCAGGAAACAGGGCTCTTTCTGTTCTTCATAATAGACTTTTTTTTTTTTTTTTTAATGTATGACATTTAATAACAGCATGAGGAACCCTAGCCCAGGACGAAAGATGATGGAATGGCTACATATTTAAAGAGAGAGAAATGGCAAAACCTACAAGAATTAACTAAATTTCTTAGCACACAATGCAAACTTATCAATAGCTTAGTCTAAAACACTTTTATTTCATAGAATCTCAAACCGAAATTTTCTCAGGGTAGGTATCTATAATTTCTTTTTACATATCCACAAATGTCAAATTAAATTCTATATGGTTAAAAGACATAAAGGTAAGAAAAAAAGAAACAGAAAACGTAGGAAACCATATGTACATGCTTTGAAAAGGAGAGGCTTTCTTAAACAATCCTGAAGACCTTGGAAGATCCATACGTATATCCTAACACATACATGACTATTTAAAAATCAAATATCAAATGTCACTTCTATGTGACATTTGATATTCCATACCCTTGTGATTTATTTTTTATTTTGGAAATGCTAGAATATAGGAAGTATACCCAGTTTGTATTACTACAAACACTGTAAGGTATATGGTTGTGTGCGTACACTGTAAGGTATATGGTTGTGTGCGTAAAAACATAAGAATGAAGCAAGACCTTATCTACATGTGTTGATGTGACTGACTACCTCTGAAATTTACCAGAGTCTTTTAGGGTCTCACTATTTTGGATCTGTATACTCTTACCAATCCCTATACATCAGGTATAGTGACCTTCTTGAAAGGTAATAATGAATCACCACATTCCCTTATTTTAGTAGCTTTTTTTTTTTTTTTTTTTTTGCCATTCAAGTAGAATCCAGATTCCTAATTAAGGGCAACAAGTTTCTTCATGATCTATCCCCTGCCTCCTAACTTCCTACCATGTTCTCTCATCGGGCATGTTCCAGTTCGTGTTGATTTTCAGCTGGTTTCTTGAATGTAACTCTACGCTTCTGCTAAGGTTGTGCTTGGTTTGGATGCCCTGTCACCCTCTCTTCTAGATAAACAGCTCCTGATCAGGCAGGTCATCACTAATATTTTATCTCCTCAGGGAACCATACTTGATTGCTGTTCTGAAAGTAGATGTTCTCTTTAATTTCTGTAGAAGGACCCAAGGTTTTTTTCCATAGCACTTATCATGATTTAAATCATTTTATTTGATCACATATTTTAGTTTTCTTTTCTCTCCAGACTTTACATTTCACAGATCCAGTGATCATTTCTCTGTGGTGGAGTTATGTATAGTTTCTCGATCAGTGCCTGGTATATAATTGGCACTTAGCAAATATTGTATGAAAAAATGAATAAATAAGTGATGAGTGAGTGAATATGTATCTTTTAAAATATTTTTTGAGAATCTGTATGTCTGCGTGGAGAAAAAAAGTGAATTCTCTCTGGGGCGCCTGGGTGGCTCAGTGGGTTAAACCTCTGCCTTCAGCTCAGGTCATGGTCTCAGGGTCCTGGGATCGAGTCCTGCATCAGGCTTTTTGCTCAGGAGGGAGCCTGCTTCCCCTTCTCTCTCTGCCTGCCTCTCTGCCTACTTGTGATCTCTGTCTGTCAAATAAATAAAATCTTTTTTTAAAAAAGTGAATTTTCTCTGGAATGATATGCTATAGAAAGAGGTTGTAAAGTATGGAGAGCTTTGGCTTCTAAAATAGAATAAAAATATAAATTGTGACTATATTTATCCCCAAGAAAATAAAATTCTTCTTAATAATTAACAATATGAAGGAAAGTAACTCTTCCCAAAATGACTTAGTATTCTTATTCTGAGGCTTAAGTTCATTCACATCCCATGAGTACCTAGTAAAGCCTAAAATGTCTACCCTCCCATCTCCTCCAGACAACATATAGGTCCACTCACTCACCCACTCTCACCCCCCCCCCCCATCCTTCTAGTAATTGTTGAACTTCTAGAAGCCAGTGGATTTTAAGATCAATACTTGGGTCCTGGGAAACTGGGGTTAATGCAATAAGGGTGATGGAGTTAGAGGCCATTGCTAACATTTCAAGGAATTCACATCCTAACGCATCATTAGGACTTAAACGAGGTTCATATCAGCATCCTCAGTTTTCAAAATAATGATGCCAACTAGGCTGACTCTAGGGAACCATAACATCAGTAGCAGATGAAGGACATCATATGAAAAGACACAGAATAATGCTAGAACCTGTGTCAGAATATTTTTTATAGCCATCAAAACATTCTCCAACATAGTATTAGTAAGTTTGCCTTTTGAACAAGGAGCTCAGACACGGGATCCAAATTATTCCGCTGTGGAAGGATACAGAGAAAAAGTGTATACCACCTTTGTTGCTATAATTGACATTCATGCGTGCATTCATTCATTCATCCTACAATTATTTATTGAATGTCAACCATTGTGATTTTCGCTGTGCTAACCAAGGGGATAATTTTAAACAAAAATCATTCAGTTCTCTCGTGCAGACTGATGGGACATGAGGAAGAAAGAATTACTTCTGTAGAGGTGTTTTAAACCACAGCCCAGAATAAAAACTAGCTTCATGTTTTACACAAAGGACTGTTTCGTAAGTTTTTTTATCCCCCTGATAAAAATAACTTCTAAATGATGGTTATTTAAAATAAGCTAGAAATAAAGATTTTCACTTTTGGAATAGAAATAGACATTTGCAGGAACCTTATTTGTTGACAAGATTAACTTTTATCCACCACATAATCATAAGTAAAGATAAAGTTTCATCTAAAAGGAAATGCAGTATAGAAAATACCCCAAAGTCATTTGAAAGAATTGGATAACCCTAATGATATTTGGAATGGGATTCATAAAAACCTTTTCAGTCTTCATGTGCATAAGTCGCTGACCAATCTGAACAAAATACTAGTTTATGTTTTCTAGTTTTGGAATTTTATTGGAGACAGATCCATTAGACACAGCACAGAAGGCTTTGAATTCCCTTTGCTTAAGCACTCTGCCAACTCAAAATCTCCTTTAAATCAATACGAGGTATAATTTAATTGCAGACTCTGTGTCAAAGTTAAAATTTTAGAAAAGAAATAAACCAAACTTCATGTAGCAATTCAAATATAGGAGACAAAATAGCAGACTAGACTATTATAGCAGAACAATGACCAGTACCTTTTGAATGCCTGCTTGGGATTCCAGAACGTTATTCTCTGATCCATTGCTTCTATTGATCATCCGCCACATTTGGGAATACATGCTGTCCCTTTCAAAAGGATTCATTCCCTTCATGCGGACATGTTCATATACTGCAGAGTCCAGTACTGTGCCATAAGGGATGTCTGTTTGCTTGGAGAGGTCCTGGAGAGATCTTCATGATTAGGAGAGAAGAGAGACACAAGAAAGAAATTGGAAATAAAGTTATAGGAAACAGAATAATATATGTAAATACAGATGTCAAATTGCTTTCCTATTTTGTGGTTTCTTAATATTAAAATGTAATATATAAGGAGAATTGCTGTTAGGGTGTATGACAAATGTGTGTGTGTGTGTGTGTGTGTGTGTGTGTGTGTGTGTGTATGTGTGTGAGCCTTCACTGTGAAAAAAACCAAAACCAAAACTAGATCTAGCAATTCCATCAAGGCAAAAACAAATTAAATTAGATTGCTGGATAACCACATAATCATTTAGTTAAAAAACAACTACATGTTATAAGCCTTAAGCCTATGTTCTTTTAGGTAGCAATGTTTAAATATTTTTTAAAATAATTACATTGTGCATGAACAACCCATTTTGAGGTGAAGTGTATATTTAAAAATTAATATTTATGATAATCACTAACAAGCGGCTACCATATACATGCCAACAACTGACATACATTATTCTCACAGCAGTGTCCCATTTCTCAGAAGTATTTCACACATTTTATCAATGAGGAAACTCAGGTTGAGAGTATAAGCATTTGCTCAGTGTGGCACAGTCAGTGAGGGATGAGATAAGATTCAAATGTAGGCTTCAAAAGCTATAGTATTTTTACTGCAAGATACTGCCTCTTATTTGCTTTAAGTTTGTGTGTGTGCACATGCATGTGTGTGTCTGTGGGTGTGAAAGAGAGAGAAAGAGAGAGGGAGAGAGAGAGAGACTTCTATTTGTATTCAAACAGAATAGAATTCATGTTTCCAGAACGATGAATATATTTTTAGCTCTCTCTTATGCATAATAATGATCAGGATTTTCACATCCATCTTTGAGTTATATAGATGGTATCTACTTGTCCTAGGTTATTCATCTTAAATTGGTGGTCAACTTCCTTACATTTAAGTTTCTGAGCTGCTCTGTATTTTCTAACTTGGAGAACCAATTACTGCTGCACTGAAACTCATTTGAGTTTGTGTAGCTGCTCAACTCTAATGACTGAGGTTTAAGAACAAATATGTGTCTTTGGCATACTGTACAAAATTAGACACTGGCATATTCAAGTTCACTAACCTCTGCGAATGGCAGCAGATGCTTTGAAACACTATACCATATTTTGAACAAGAATATTCAGAGCCCTCCACAGCCATGGGTCAGGAAACTCATGTTATGTATACTTTTGACCTTTTGGTCTGTTTCTAGATGGAGTTTGCTAATGATTTCCTGGGGCCTTAGCAAACAACACTAGCATTGGGCAAGGGTATTGGGAATACTCTTGCAGGTCACCAGTTTCCATCATGTGCAAAACTGTATTACAAACAATAAATTATGGGCTGTGTTTGCTAGAGGAGTATTCATGCCATTTTCTAATAGTAACTTTCAGCAAAATTTAATCTACATTTTATTGAGTTTTAGGTTGTCGATGTGTATCATTTACTCTATGGAAACTACCATGATAATTCCTTTTTGTTCTGTACTTCTGCTTAAAATAATGTGTTGAAAAATGACTATTTCCATGAGAGACTGTGGACTCTGAGAAACAAACTGAGGGTTTTGGAGGGAAGGGGGGTCGGGGGGGTTGGCTGAGCCCAGTGGTGGGTATTAAGGAGGGCACGTATTGCATGGAGCACTGGGTGAGGTGCATAAACAATGAATTATGGATTACTGAAAAAAAATAAATTAAATTATATTTAAAAAAATGACTATTTCCAAGGAAAAATTTGCTGGAGTATTCTACAACTATTAAATTAATTCTACCATTTGTAAAAAGATAAAATAACAGTATGAAGAATAACTGAGGACAAAAGCAGGAATAAAATCAAGCTACACATAGCTAGGGTACAACCTCATAGGAGAGTAAAAGGGCACTTTCTCCTGGGATATCCCACAATTATCTTGTTAACAGTATAGCAATAAGACTCTTGTTCCCAAAGATCATTTACTTCTCAACCACTGCTGTTTCCAGTAGTGGGAGTGAAACTATTAAAAACATTAACATTTTAACATATTTCCCATTGTTTAGTGGAGGACGATCTAAAGTGGTAACACAGGAAAAAGAAATGAAACATTATCAATTCAGGTTATAATAGCAGTAGCAAATAGCAATTTGTTCAATACCTATTAATACAAGAGCCTAGGCTAGCTAGTTTTATGGAGCTTGCACCTTCTAAAACCAGAAGGTCCCATGGCTGGAGAAGGCCATGTCACATTTCATCAGAGACCCTCCCAGGATGGGATTGGCCACTAGCTGTTTAGAACATTTGGCAATCAACCAGTATTATAACTCTCGGAAACTTTCAATTTGGTGGTGGTGAGATCATAACCTAGGGGTAAAATTTTTGTATGCCCACACCTCTAAATATATAATTTGTTTGCCCAACTAGTCATACCAGTAAAATACTGTTAAATAAATTAACACTTCCTCTTAGCTTTTCATGAAAAGAAAATTGAAATCAAATGTTAGGATCGTTTTAATAGAATCATTTTCTGTGGCATAACATCACCTTCAATATCAGCTTTACAACTTGAATATAGAATTGTCATACAAATAGTCTTGTTGGTGAAACTGATTTGTACATAGTAAAAATTTTAAAGGAATTTCTTAATATACTGCCTGTGTGAAATTCCTGATGTCAGAAAAAAAAAAGGCATTTTATGTTCAACATACCTCAGATTTAGAATAGCAGAGCATTTGTAACTTAGAACAAAGACATGTTCCCTCCAGCTTCATTTCTGATATCAAGTTCAGCTTATAAATTTGCCTTGAGATATGCTTGCAATAAAAATTACAGCTTGCCTGATTCAGCATCGTTCCATTATAGTACACTGAGACAGTACCAAAAGTGACAAAAATAAAATGAAGCAAATTGAAGTGAGCACAAACAGCTTATTACAGAAAGTGAAGGCTGTTTTAGGAGCCGAACACAGAAAGACAGTGACCATTTTATGTGGTCATTCTGTTATTTTTCATGCTGTTAAGATTTTAGAGTAATATCAGCAGAAAAGGAATGGCCTATAGTATGAACCCTTAAAAGAAATAGAGTAAATTCTTCTACAAGTGGTATTCCTCAAAAAAATTGTATCTTAAGTTCAACATCTGAGTATTACTTAGATATGCCAAATCATTGTTTTTTTTGGTTTGTTTTGCCAAATCAGTTTTAAATGCAAAATAATTCTAAAATAATTAATAAGAACCTAATATATAAGTTAATTTATCATGGCAAATGTTGTCATTTCTTTTTTAACAATTGCCAATGCATACCCAGGTCACAGAGGAAATGGGAAAATCTAGAGCATTCTAGAAAGGAGTTAACTTGGAATATACTCATACTGATATATTCCATTTCTCCACTTAATCTCACACAATTCACATTTACCACATAAAACTCAGCAAACAATCACTCTGCAGATCTATTATACCTGAGTCCCCCTCTCCCAACCCCACACCCCCATTCATGCACATAGAGTTAAAAAAAAAGTGTCTTTAGCAATAAGTGGTGAATAATAAAAGAAAGCAAATGGTTTGCTACTTTAAGCCTTGTTCTCCCATCATCTTTTCAAAATTCTACTTTTATTTTTCCTGGTGTCCTGTACTACTAGCAACCCATGGGTACTAAAGAATACTGAGAGATGATAGATAAGTGGTATTTACTTATTTGCATGAACATTATATGTACTTAGAAATTGTAATTTAGGGTACTTCTGTAAAGTCAATTTCAGGAATTTGGGTGGATCTAGGCTGATTGCAAACTCTTTCCATGAGAAAAACAAACACTTAAAACCCTTCAAACATAGAAAATTAATTTTGATACATGTGATACTCTGATATTAGGTATTAGTGATAGCAGTAGCTTTGACATTGGGTAAGTTAGATTTTAAAGTCGAGCAGATAGATTATTTGTGGGCTGTGTGATGTTAACCCCTGTTAACCTGAATTTTCTCAACTATAAATGGAGAGAATAAGAGTGTCTAAGGGTGAATACAAGAGGACATGTCACATCGGTATTCAACTAACTTATCCATTGTTTTATTTTTATTTTATTTTAGTTTTTATAAAAAGATTTTTTATTTTAGTGAGAGAGGGAGAGAGAGAGAACATGAGTGGACAGAGGAAGAGGGAGAGAATCCTCAAGCAGACTCCCTGCTTAGCCTGGAACCTGACTTGGTGCTTGATCTCACGACCCTGCGATCACAACCTGAGCAAAAACCAAGCATCAGATGCTTAACCAACTGCACCCCTCTATTGTCTTATATGGAGATTATTATTACAATGATCCATCTCTGAATAATGCCCTATTTAATAATTTCTAATGGATATTTGGTATGTGGCAGGGTGATCCCTTTATATTGCTGAAGAGGAGATTCATGAATGATACTGAATAGTCATAACTTTGAATGTGTTGCTACTTACTTACATTTCTAAAATTGTCAACTAATTAAAAATCTAATGCCTTTTCCCTCTGTAGTGAACTTTCACTCATATTTTTACCTATTTTCCTTTAACAAGAGAATAGATCTTACCCATATAAACTTTAAAATAAGACATATAAGTCTTTCTTTTCCATCTTCATTCCCTTTCTTCTTTTTAAACATTTGAGTTTGGTTTTATGTAATGCTCACCAACACACAGCTGTCAGCTTTAACTCTGGGGAATTGTAAGTCTAGTCCCATTTTTAATGAAATGGAACAAAGCAACTGAAGTTATCACATCGGAAGGGATTTTTCTTCAGGGTAAAAAGAAATGGAACGTGGTTGATAGGATAGTTGTTAGATCCTTCAGGCCAAGGGGCTGACGGTAGAAGAGAGACTAGCAAACGGGGATGTATTAAAAATGTCTTCCAACTCAGTTCAGGTTTTTTTTTTCCTTTCTCCCACAGTTTCTTCCTCTGGATGCTGATTTCAGCATCTACCAAAGGAAAAGATATTGTTATAGCTCTAAGAGCCCATCAGTAACCA